CCATCTAAGCTTCGCCACTTTCCTTTATACCGAAATTGCAAATCTAAGCATTTTATTTCTTTGCCTATCAAATCATCGCCGGATATACCTTCTAATCCATAATCTTCTTCAAGCTTATTATACAAGCACTTGCTAATAGTATTGGATTTAGATATTATATCGATTAATGCTTTTACTGGGATTTTTCTCTCTACGATTGTTTTTATGAAAACCATGTCAAATATTATTTAATGATGTATATTATAACTGAAAAAATAACTCGGTAAATAATTACCCATTCTCTGCTACTACATAAAATTATTTGTAAACCATGAATGATTAAGATTAATCCCGTCAATCTCTCTGATACAATTACTGAGCGCAGAAATAAGATCTGTTTCATCCAATAATGTACCGGTGAACATTGGAATAGATAGAGGTAGATCAGAATTGGTCTATTTTTCATCTGAATAATTAGTATATTTGATTTTAATTTTTGGATTAAGTTTTTTAATTACTTCTTTGTTAATCCCTATACATACCTCCAAACTAAGATATTCCAAATTAGTACAGTTGCGGGATATTTCCTCGACAGCTTTATTATCAATCGAACAATAGCCAAGCTCAAGATGTTTAAGTTTTGGGTATGAGTGAGCAATTTCAGTAATACATCGATCAGTAAGACATTTACATGAATTAAGACTCAGATGCTGTAGTTTTGGACAATATCTATAATTGGTATGTTAGTGAAACCATTACTTCGGTCAAGAATAAGAATGCGTATATCTGGACATGAGCGTAGAATCGCACTAATTAACGCATCTTTGATTTTTAAACCTTCCAATCTGAGATATATCATTTTTGAACAATAGAGAGGTTTTGTCTTTTCACACATAACTCTTTTAAACTTCATCAATCGCCAATAAAGAGGTCCACATGTATTTTTTTCACACTGATCCTGCTGATAACCTTCTATAGAAAACTCAATGCGACGCCATAGAATAGGAGCACCGCAGTGATACCAAAAGTGATTAACAAACAGAGCGGGATAGAGGGATCGATCGATTTCTAAAAAATATAAGATCTGTTCTAGTAATTCCGGTAAATCAAAAATATTTTGTTGCGCCATTCTCAAGAATGTATATTATATATCTTTAATCAGAAAAAACAACTAATGTTCGGATAATTAATTTTAGGCATATATACTATGCATTTTCTGGATATTCTCAACCACGCTTAACTTTGCAACCAGCTCATCTAATGATAGATCCGTTCCGCATCTTCTGGCTTCCATATGGTTATCAGAATTTAATCCACGAAGGAATTGATGTTTAAGATGTTCTTCATCATATCCAAGCGAGTCATTACATTTTTTTACTTTTGCAAAATACTCCATTACTGAATCATTTCCTTGCTCCAAAATCCCAAATCGGAATTTCTGAATATCAGTAGGTCCGTTTGAGATCTTATTTAAGTGGTCAACTATTTCATTCAGAGAATTTTTAAACCCGAATCTAATTGCTTCTTTTTTATTATCTAGTGATAGACCATTGAAGAATTTTTCCTTAAGGCCTTGATTATCTAAGTCAACATCCAATGCTATAGCATATACCTTTATCATCTTGAAATAGTTATCCACGGATTGATCGAGTTGTATAGGTGGTGTAATATCTTTGCTTTTTTCAGATTCTAAAACTGGAGAATTTGGATATGATCCCAACCAATTAATTGTATCTCTTACTTCGAGGTGACTCCCTATTCCCATGATTAGTATGTTTCACGAATATAACTATATATTTAATATTGTATTTTTTACTTCGTATTAATAAATAATATTATGACATCGACAATGAATAAAGCTACTATTGATTCGTGTGCTAACATATCAACTATAACTGAAGAATTTGCTAACCGTTTGGGATGGAAAATTAATGGAGATGACCACGAATCTCAGAATTCTAATAATGTAATATCCAGTATTGTTAGCAAAGTATCAAGTAAAAAAATTTTGATTTCTCTCCGCCAATTACTGGAGATAGTAAGACCCGAGATTCAGCAAGATATTATAAACTCAATAGCAAATCCGGATATTTCTCAGCAACATATTCCATGCAAAGCTAGGAAAAAACCAATTTTTAACAATACCGCATCTGAGTCCTCATCCACATCTGAATCTGGGTCTGAGTTTGAATCGTCTAATAATGATAAAGATTTTACTGTGGATATAGTACAAGTGAAGAAGCGTGATTAGTTATCATCATCAGAAATTTCTCCGTATAAATTGATATTATTCTCGACCTCACTATTTTCTTGTTTAGATGTTGGAATAGCGGAGCTAGTGTCAAGACACATATTTGGTCTGTCATTCATTACACCATAATGTTCAACTGATGAAGCATGATCTATTTTATGCCTACATGCTAATTGTCGTAAATATTGATGGCAGGAATCATTTCTACCTCCATGTATTCTGGAAGCATGATCAGCTCCTATTTTTCTTAATATAAATGAAGTAATTTTATGGCGACTTAAGAATTGATTAAGTGGTGCAACATTAGTATTTCCATCCTTATCTTTTAACAAGAAGAGAAATTTGTCAGGTATTGATCTCTGAATTCAGATAAGTAATTCTCTTGCTCGTATTGGATTTTTTTCCATTAAAAGGAATGGTCGGGATTCTTCTACTTCATCTTTATTTTTCGCATAACCAGTGCAATATAAAGAATAGTCAGAATTATACCATAACGTATTACTTGGTCTGTATCGATTGATACGAAGAGTTTCCACATCTGCCGACCGCATACATAACATTACCATTATGTCTATTAGATTTTGCATTGAAGGAGGCTTGGTAATATCACATTCATTAAGTCTTTTCTGAACTTTTTCCAGGTAAAAGAATTTGGAACAATCGTAACCATTAATTCCACGAAGTATACATTTTCTTGCTTGAATCTGATTTGCTTCTTTAGTAATAAAGGGTATTTTCGTTGCCTCGGTGATGAAATAATCAGCTCCTAAGCTACGCAATTCTTTCCATAATAAATTAAGACGAGAATTTCCAGCAACAGTAGTAGAAGCAGAAGAAGCCAAGTCGTATGCTATTCCATTTATCTCTTCAGGTGAGAGATTGTTTTTTATAATATCTTGCGCAATAACCTTGATGGGATCTCTTTCCACGACATATCTCCCAGGTGCTTGGATAGGAATAAGGACATCTGCTTGTTCTTTGCTAAGTCCCAGCTGTTGGAAGTGCCTTCTGGCCTGATCTTTAGCTTTTCGAGCCTGCTCTTTTGTCTTGCCATCTGAAAGTTTACTAGCCAACTCTTCGGCATAACTACTAAGCTGGGGTAAACTAGTTTGTGAAGTCAATTTGTAGTGATTTACAAATGATGTAGCGATTTTTGCCATGGTTAGTATATGTTAGTTGAGATGTTTTATATAGACTATTTTCGTCTGATATATACTATAAAGATTCTTTTTTCAAATTGAAATTAATTATCCAGGTCGGTATACCCAAAAAATTGAATGGGTGGCGATTATTGTAATTCTATCGGAAAATGGATGCGAATAAGACACGGAATAGATCAAAGATTTTAGAATTCATAGCTTTACATAATAAGATAACCAAAAATATAGAAGGTATCAAAGAGGATATAGCATTACTTAAAGAGGTCCTAGAAAAAATAGTCGATATATGCCAGATACATGATAAATGTTAATGCACATATCCAAATAGATTCTGGCACGACTCAACACTCACGAGATATTTGCGATATATATCTGATCTGCTTTGTAAAATATCAGGTGGTGGTATTATAGCTGGCTTCCATACATTAAATAAAAAGTTTGTATGTTCAGGGTAATCGTAATCAATATGTTCAGAAATTTCTGAGTAATTCGATAAATCATTGACATATCTATATCCATTGTGGATTAGCTTTTGAAACATTGAACCATTTAGATTTATCATCCGGTGTCACGATCGGGCTCCTGGTAGGTGTAATCGTGACGTAGGTGTTCAACCAACGTCTAATGACGATATTTTACGGTT